TGGATATTTACTTGGCAGCTACCTACTTTCTTAGAATAGAAAGTCAATTGGACCTCTGTTGGCAAGGGAGCAGGATCTGGCAAACTCATGATTGAGATGCTAGATGGGAAAGGGGAATTTGGTCTCCTAATGATTTAGAGATTGGATGGGAATTTGGATTATTTGTGAGTCAGCCTAGATGGAATTTGTCTTACTATGATTCAAATACTAGGGTGTAATGGGACATTTAACTTGCGATGATTCAGATGCTAAATAGAATTTGGCTTACCTGTGACTCAGATACGAGCTAGAATAGAGGAACTAGGCTTATTAATGATTCATATAATAAATCCTTTCCACTGTGCCATCTTGAGATGTTACATAGCCTCAGACCTTCAATGTCCTCTGAATAACACTGTGCATGAATGTAGTTTAATGATGCATAGAAAAGATCCCTAGCACCATTCTTACCATTTCCAAGTAAGCTTATCTTAGAAGCAAAACTAAGAGAGACCTTTTTCTTCCTGAGGATGTTGATGGGGTCTTCTCCAATAGCAGTAGACAACACTGGGTAAACCTGATAAGATCAGGAGAACTATAACTCAGAGATGAAGAGTATATTTTGCATGAACACTGCTCAGTGTCATATTCTGGGGAAAGCAAAGAGAGAAGAATTGGAAAGACCTCTATACTGAGTTGATAGAGTCTCTACTACTTGAACATGTGGCTGAGCTAGGAAGCCAAATAATCCAACGCTGTACAGAAACTTCAAGTTTGAGCAAGTGGTGGACCTTGACATGGAGGTGTTGAGATATGATGTCCACATATTGACTGAAATAATCAGCCAATTATATCGAAGGGTAGTCATCATTCAACTGTAGAATGTTAATTTAATTTAATTTAATTTAAGAAACTTATATGGCTAGGCAGCCATATAAGTTTCTTAAATTAAATTAAATTAAAATCCTATGTACCATAACTGTGGGAAGCTCATGATGAGAACAATCAAAACAGCAAAGAAGCAATAAAAAAGAACATCCAAAAAAACAACTCCCCGTGCCTGAAAACAACACTTCCCAGTACATAAACAATCACAATCACTGAGCTCTACCCCAACACTTGTGGGAAGAGCCAGCTTTTTAAAATCTTCCAGAAGAATAGAAGATGGGGGCCTCCTGGATCTTAGTATACTGAGTATATATGTACTTTTGTAGTTGAAAGTTTCCCAATAGTATGTTTGGGGAAATATGTTTTTATCAGTACTTTTCTGGGCTATCCACAGGAAACACATAAATAGGACATTTCCAGTTAAATAGCAAAGAGAAAGGAGAAGAAGGAGAAGGAGAAGGAGAAGGAGAAGGAGAAGGAGAAGGAGAAGGAGAAGGAGAAGGAGAAGGAG